GGCGGGCGTGGCGCGAAGGGTGCGCTTTGTACCTTTGGCAGACGTCTTGCTCGCTCCCTCCTGACGAGGGTTCGAAAGGTTTCGCAGTGTGGTTTACTGTCATTATTCGGCGCCCCATTCCCCGGCCGGCCGCTGGCTTCCCCTGCACTGGACTCCCTGTTCGCTGGGAGTGTACCCCTGCACTGGACTGGCTCCTCGATGCGACGTTGGTCGCGCCCGAGTGAGCCGCATCGGAGCGGGTGGCCTCGCCCGTACCTGGAGCACGACAACAAGGGGCCGGACTGGCCGGGCCCTCGAGACGCACGACGGCATGCTGCGTCTGTCTCTCTCGCGCTGCCGCGGAGCGTCCCCCGGGGGTGCGAGAGGGACAGAGCGGCCTCTGTGCCGCGTCGCTCCGCGCAGAGGGACGCTGGTCGGCAAAAGCAGAGACGGCCATTAGTGTCGAACCACGCCACGCCGACCAGCAGGGCCGGCAGGACCAGGACGCGGCGTCCGGACCAACTTCGGCGACCTCCGGGAAGTACAGCAGGCTCACGCTCCCGCGCCGCGCGGCGGGGTGATATAAAGAGCGCAGCCACGCGCTACACTGTGCGCCACACGCGACGCTGTGCGTCAACACGCCGCAATCAAAGTCCGGGCCAAGTTTGAACGCCACCGCGCGGAAGCGCTCGCAGTGGCAGCAATATGTGCGCCAAGCGGCGCGCCAAAGGCAGCGCCGGCAGCGCAAACTCAATCGACTCGGCGGTGTTCGACCGGACAGAAGGCCTGATTTGAAACCCTGTGTGCCTGCGCGTCTGTGTGCCTGTGTGCACACGCCGGGGCCACACGGCCACTCCACCCTCTGTTAAATCTCGCCGCTATCAAATCAGTTTCAAAAATATGGCTTGAAAAATGATCGAAGAAGAAAAGGAGGGCGGAAGGAAGGAAGGAGGGTCGCATCCCTTCGGCCCTTAAGCCCTGCGTTTGTCTTTCTTACCCTTCGGCGAGCCCTTCGGCGAGCCCTTCGGCGAGCCCTTCGGCTCCCTCGGCCAGGCCGCACCCCAGGGCGACATTTTTCGGGGCGACCCTGAGGGTGGCCCTTGGGGTGGCCGTGGCCGGTCCAAGGGCACCCCAGCCCAACCCAAGGGCAGCGAGCGTGCCCTTGAAGGGCATTGTACCTGCAGCCCTTCTTGATTTAGGGCACTTTTTCTCGTTCTCTGTGTTAATGAGGGCTTTGCGGCCTTCAGGACTTCAGGGCCTAAACGCGGCTAAACGCGGCGGCGCCACTCAAAAGGGAAACTGTATAAAAGATGTCGGCCGGTCACATGGGCCTATTAATTCTGTGGGACAATCGGCCCGGCCTGGCTTTGAGCCGCACAGCATTACCGCACCAGTGGGCCGGAGCTAAACGACGCCAGGTCTCCTTTATCTGGCGAGAGAAATGGAAAAATCGATGCGATAAAAAGTCATTTGGGGGATGGAATTAGTCGTCTTTCTAACAATTAGGTGTGTAAGGGGATCGCTAGTTGAGGGGAAGTCGGCACCAAGTCGCCGCGAGGAGCTCGAATGCGAGGGAGAGATATGGCTTCCTCTCTTTTCGGTTTCTTTGGACCCCACTCGGCTCTGGTAATGGCTGCGCGGCCTGCGCGGGGCGGGGCGGGGCGGGGCGGCGACACAAACTCGGAGGACGGCTGGCTCTCCCGGAGGTCCACGCCCAGAAAGAGGGAAGGAGCTTGTTATCAATTTGTTGTCGAGGCCGCCTGAGCGTGGGCCGAGGCGTGGGCCGAGGCGTGGGCCGAGGCGTGGGCCGAGGCGTGGGCCTGATCGGCGTGGTCTTCCCCGCGGGTGGGGGGGGGGGGGGGGGGGGCTGCCCCGAGGTGGCAGACTTAGGGCGGCCTCGGTAATGAGAAGCAGGACTGGCGACTCATGAATGCCGAAAACACCTAATAACGATTCAGTCGCCATACCAATCTTTATACATGAGGATGTTAATCACCGCGAATACTTCCGTACCCCAATCACTTTTACAGTAATCAGGACGGGGCAGCCGCGAACGAGAGCAACTACTAGTAACAAGCGGAGGGCCGCAAAAAAGAGGTAGCGAAAAAAAAGCCCGGACTGGACTCTGATTCGCTTGCCATGCAAATGCCTCCATTAGAGCCCCATTTTGGCAAACGCAGTGCGGTGGCGTGTGAGGACTCTGTTGGCAGTGGCGTGCCGCGGCGTGCCGCCCCTCCGCGGCGACACTCTAAATGCGCGTCGCGGCTGTTGGCGTGATGGCGCTTCGGATGACGACGCCCTGACGCGAACCCCGGAGGAAAACTCCGTAATTCCTCATTCCTTTTTTTTTTGTTCCCTTTCTTCAAATTTTTGTCTAAGTGCCCCTCGGAGACGGCCGCTGATCCCTTGGCGGCGCGGCCTCGGCGCGGCCGGGGTGCTGAACGAACGCGCCGCCCTGTCTAAGCTGTTGATATTTGGACTAATCACAACAGAACGCTGCGTGGCGGGACGCTGGGTCCGGTCTGCGTGGTGCACCGAGTCCCACAGTGCACCGCGCTGCATCCAGCGAGCTAATCATGCCGCTTGACTGCACCGCACCTCCACTGTAGCACGCCGCGCACGCCTCGCGCCCCGCCCTGCAGCCTCCCTCTCCCCGCGGAGCGGCGCGCAGCCCATCAGAGCCACGGCTGCCGCCGGCTGCAGGGTGCGAACAGTGTAATCCCGCGCTGCGAGTGCGGTTCTCTCACCGCCTGCCTCCTCCGATGCACGAAAATGCTTCATTTTTCGGCGCGGCTGCCACGTCGGAGGGGCTGCCTGCCGCATACGCCCGGCCGACACAGACGTCACGGACGCGATAGCGGGGCCTGTCTGTCTGTCTGTCTGTCTGTCTGTCCTGTCTGTCTGCCCGGCTGTCTGGCGGGCTGTCCCTCCGTTGGTCCCCTGCACCTGTCACAACACAAGGGGCGGCCTGGATCGCGACCGGGAGGAGGGAAAAATAATATGCGAGCGTGGGGGCGATCGTGGCCGGGCGCGGCCGGGCTCTCCTTTAATTTCGATATTGGATTCTCCAACTTTGGGCCGGCGTGGCGCGGCCGCCGCGTGTGTGGGTACGTTGTGGCGGCGTCGTAGGCAAACAAGCACCCGGCCGCCAGACTCTCCGTTTTTTGTGTGACGCGCTCTTTTTCGTCCGCGCTCGTGCGAATACATAAAGACGGAGCGAAACCGACGCGACGGCGAGAAGAGTTCCGGTGTGTTTTCGGCCTAACACATACTCCCCACACTCACGAGAGAGAGAGAGAGAGAGAGAGAGAGAGAGAGAGAGAGAGAGAGAGAGAGAGAGTCGGCGCGTGCCTCGGGGTGCTCCTCCACGAGGGAGCCAATGATGTGGCAAGGAATGCAGCCGAGTAATGAGTTTTGCCGGCAGATAAACAGGACTCGCTGATTCGCGCGTTAGGGAGGAAGGACCTCCGCGGGCCTGCCCCGCGCTGCGCTGACTAGCCTCGCCCCAGGGGCGGCGCGGCGCGGGGCGGCGAACCAAATCAAATAAAGTGTGATGCCGGCCATCTCACGTAGAGCGAGGGGGACGGTGCACCATAAAGTGAGGCGAGGTTCGTCGACCCATTGGGCGGCGACATGGGGAGGCATGGCCGGCACGGCCGGCACGGCAGGACTCAAACTGCAGCGACATCTCGCCCGTGGAGCTTGTTGAATGATTCAGTGAGTGATGCACTGCCGGGCCAAATCAAGTCAGATTTCGCCGGAAAGTCCTTTAAGTTTTGATAAGGAATGAAAACAGCGTTTCTCTCAAAAGTGGCGTCTTAGTTTTCCTGCCGTTTCTGGCAGTGTGTCACGTAGTCGCCGAGATTTGCCCCGTAACTTCCAGCGGCGTGGCCTCTCTGCGTTTCGGCTGTAGTGCTTGGGAGACTGTGACGAGACGCGACGCTAGATCAAGGCAGCTATCGATTTTCCCCCAAATAAAACAAAAAAAAAAAAGAAAGGAAAATAAAACTCGTCCTGGCAGAAAAAAAGGACCGCATCAGTCACGGGGACTGTGCTGCAGAAGCTGTCAGGCCTTGTCTGGAGTGTCACTGGGAGGGGCTGGCGGTGCAGGCGGACGGGCTGCAAGCTTGCGGCTGCGGCGTGTTTTTATTTTCCAACTCGATAAATTTAAAATGGCTCGCATTTGCACGTCACGCGCGTTCTCGCTCGGCATGTACTCGCCCAGAAATGAAGATACGGAAGCGGAACAAAAAAAAAATTATTGCAGCGACTATTGCATTTAGCCGGACTGGACGCGACACTCTGGCCGTAATTGACTTTGGCGCTCGAGAGGAGAGAGAGAGAGAGGAGAGAGAGAGAGAGAGAGAGAGAGAGAGAGAGAGAGAGAGGAGTTTATTTTAAAACAGGATTTTTTGGGGGGGTTTTTAAGTTCACAAAGCGGGCCAAAAAGGGTGTGTGGAAATTTGTCAAAAAAAAAACATGCAGTTTTGATGTCTCTTGAGGTATTTATGGTGCATGATGCAGTGTTTTACAATTTTTTTTTTTTATTTTTTTTTTTTAAAAAATTAACATTTTTTTTAAATAAAAAAAATAAGATAATTTAATAAAGAAAAAGATTAGTAAATAATATGCATTTTTAAGGATACTTCAAAAAGGTTGTCTTTATGGCGCCGTGCAGGTAGGAAAACAGCGCACTGGCTCTCTTCGGTGTGACGATGGTGGCCTATGCTCAGGGTGGCAGGGGCCCGGTTTACAGCAAAATGATGACTGATTTAGACTTGCAAGAAATGGATTGTAGACATATGTTTACATTGAAATTGTTTTTCTGGAATTCTTCTTTCTTCCCCCTTCTTCTTTTTCTACAAAGTGGTGATTTCCTCTTTGAAGAAAAGAGAGGAGAAATTGATTCGAGGGGTTGGTTTTCTCCTTGTTTACATTTTCTTCTTTTTTTTTTTCTTGAGTTTGAAGCTTGTTGATTTTGCTTGTGCTTTTCTAATCAGAAAATTTAAAAAATTTCTGAGGGCATTGTTGATGTAGAAAGTCTCTTCAAACTTAATTCTGAAACCTGTTACTTCAGCGTGATGTTCTTCGAGTGCTAATCTGTACTTGAGTCTTCTTTTGAACAATTTGAGATAACAAGGGTTAGGTGGATTTTCTTCTTTGATTATATTCATGTAGCATCTATAAATGGTGCTTTTGGCAAGGACTAGAATGAAATTGGAAAAATTTTGCAGCTGGGTTCTTTGATGGGAAGCCAACTAGCAGCTGTTCGTATTTTGGGGGAGCGCTGAGTGATTGATGGTGGAAATTTTTTGATGAGATGAAATTCCAGAGGGGTTTTAACATGTTGACTTTGGGAAAAAAATATGCATTGTATTTCCTTCTTCTTCTTTGCACCATGGGCACTGTCCTGATGAGATGACTTTCCAGAGATTTAGTCTTCTAGGAGTAACAAGGGGTTGTGAAGAAGTCTCCATGTAATATCGGAGTCTCTTCTGTCCGTTGGATATCTGTAGATAACATCCCACTTGATGGGCTTGTCAAGCCAGGTGATTTTTCCTGTAACTTCTGGATTCTTCAAATAGTATTGCAGGGGGGTGAGGTAATGTTGTTTTCTTTTTCCCAGGAAATTTTCTTTCTTCATTTGATGGTTGAGCTTTGAACTTGAATTGGATTGGCGATTCTTCTAGAGACATCTTCTTAGCAAGAAAATTTTTAATTTGAGTGAAATTGTTTTTGATTCTCCTCTGGGTTGGTGCTGAGAGGTTTTGAATTTCCAAGTCCGCCCAATTTCCTTGAGAGGTTAGTAACTGTCCAAGTTTGGTAATTCCGATGGTGCGCCATTCAGGAATGATGCTGATTTCTTCTTTTTGGATTATTTTACTTCCATAAAGAGGCATTTTTTCAGTATTGGAAAGTAAATTGTGTTGTTATTGGGGTTTGGGGTTGAATATCATACCATGCATTTAAGAGACTAAAATAAAAGTTGTCCAGATTTGCCATTTCAGTGATGTTCTTCTGCTGCATAAAAAAATGTTGAGGTGTTGACTTTCCATAGAGAGACATGTTGTAATGAGATATGGGAAAAAACTGGTTCTTGGCAATCAAAATTATTTTGAATGTCTTGCACTAATTTAAGTCTTAATGATTTGGTTTTTGCTTCCAGGTGCGTGAGTCCCCTCCACCTAATTCTGTGTTTGCAAAAACATAATTTTTATGGAGCCAGTGCTTGCCTTGCCATATGAAGTCAACCATGGATTTTTGGACTTCTTCAAAGAACTGTCTTGGTGGTTGAAGAATGTTGAGGGTGTGGATGAGTTGGGACCCTGCCAGCTGATTGCAGACAATTTTTCTCCCAATAAGAGAAGTGAGTTTCACATGTTGGGACCAGTTTTTGAGAGTTCCTTTGTTTTTTATGATGAGTGAAGTCCAATTTTCTTCTTCATATTGTGGAGTATTTCCTATGAATACCCCCAAAAATCTTCAGTCCATCATTGTTCCAATGACAATCTAAGGGTTTTATCTTTCCTTTTTTTCCAGGCACCACAAAAGAGGCCTTTTGACTTTGTTGTATTAAGTTGTGCTCCTGATTCTTGGCTATAATAGCTATAGGCCTGAGATATTTTTTCAAAGTCTTGATCATCAGTTATGAAAAAATGTACATCATCCGCAAAAGCTGTTGAGTGTACTTTCAAGTTGGAGCTGGGAATGGGGATCCCACTCTGGGTCATCATTTTGGCAGCGAGGCGGAGGAAGGGCTAAAATGAGATAACGTAGAGTGGCCCAGCAATAGGGTCACCCTGTCGAAAGCCATTCTCAAACAGGAAAGGGGCTAGCAGTGAAGATCCAATCTTGAAAAATCCTCTTGTTTCTTGAATTAGTGCAGATTTTGATCTTCTTAAATTTGGTCCAAAGTTATGGAGTTTGAGAAGATGTTCTAAATATTTGTGGGATTTTTTGTTAAAAGCTCCAGACTGATCTAAAGCCAAGATTGAAAGGGTTTTGTTTGGTTCCTGTTGGAATAACGAATGACTTTTCTTACTAAATGCAGATTGTTGTAAATTGTTCTGCTGGGAACACAATAGCTTTGATCAGAGCTGAGCAGTGATTGTAAGACTGAGGCTATTTTTTTACTGAAGATTCTTGATATTATTTTGTAATCACAGTTCATCAGGGCAATTGGTCTCCAACTTTTTAGAGTAGTTCTGTCCCCTGGTTTGGGGATTGGAGATATGACTTTTTTTCTTCATAGATTTGGGAAGTTGTCCGGTCTCTTGAAAATGTTGAACCATTTTGGTAAAAAGGGTTTTTTAAAGATTTTCCCAGAAGAATTTATAAAATTCAATTGGCAAACCGTCCATGCCTGGAGCTCGGTTTAGTTGTGCACATTGTATGGATTCTTTTATCTCTTCTTCAGTTTTTTTTTCTTCACACTTTTCTGAGTCATGCTGACTCAGAGAGGGAGTATCTTGGTAGAGAGTATTTTGGATTAAAATTCTGGGACAAATTTTGTGAACTAAACTCACTCTGAAAATGCTTCTGGACTTCTGTAAAAATTGCAGTCTTGTCTGATGTTACTTGCCCTCAATTAAAAGTTCTTTTTATAACAGCTGAAGGCTTAGATTGCTTTGCAATTCTGAGGAAAATTTTGATGAAGTATTGGCTTCTTGACGGACTTGTGACTCCAACAAATTTAATTTGAGGGATGCGTCCTTGTTGTAAATTGATGATATTTCTTTGTGGATTTGAAGCAGAAGTTTTTGATCATTTCTTGACAGTTCTTCTTTTTTATCAATGTGACTTATTGTTGAAGTAAGTGTCTTGAGTTTTTCTTCTGAATCTTCTTTTAGTTTTTTGGAAAACCGTTGTGAAGCTAAAGATATTTTTTGTTTCAAACAGTCCCACAGTTGAACTATATTTGAATTTTCTTCTTGCTCCTTTTCTTCAAAAAATTCTATGATGTTTTTTTGATTTGAATATATTCATTTGACTTGAGAAGAGTTACATCAAACTTCCAATAAAGGGGTTTTTTAATTTTTTTCAAAAATATTTAGAGTGATGGTTACTCCATCATGGTCAGAGAAGGATGGAATAATATTTGTGCTTTGTACTGCATGTAAGTTACGGGCTTGGATGTAAGCACGATCCAGTCTAGCCATGGGATGATTGTTTTGTAATCCTCTGTAGGTGAATTGTTGTTTGTTAGGGTTGAAGTTTCTCCAAACATCAGTCAGATTGTACTGTTGCAGAAGAACTTGGATTTGATTTACTAATTGAGTTCTTTTTTTAGAACAGTTTCTTCTATCTTCTTTGGCTAAAGTTGTATTCCAGTCTCCAGCCATTATGATGATGGCATCTTCACTTGTAATTTTTGACAAAAAATTATGAATTTTGTTTAATACCTGAGATGCAACCTGTGCATTATGAGGGATGTAAACATTTATGAAGTAAAATTTTTAGCTCTTGATTTCAAGATGCAGTGCTTGTAAGTATCCAGGGACTAGATTTGATTCTTGAATTATCTTGGTTTCTTGAAGAAGTTGATTCTTGATTGCAATGGCGACGCCCGAAGAAGGTTGTACAGGGGGGTTAAGGAAGAATGTAAAATCCATAGTTCTAGCCATCGGTGTTGATCTTGAAAGATTAGTCTCTTGCAAAAAAAGCACTGAATTGTGGGGATTATCGGCAAATTGTTGTAGGCAAAGTTTTTTTCTTGTGTGACTAAACCTTTTAAAATTCAAAGTGAGAATGCTAAGCATGATTACCACCACAAAGTTAATGTGAATATCGACATTTTTGGGTTTTTGTACAATTTTTTTTTTACTGATAGGCACAGTAAAAATATAAAAAGCTGTTATCACTGTTTTTCATTTTTCACTCTGGTCTTCTGGATTTTCTTGACTTCTCAAAGCGTCTGCTGCACGCTGAAATCTCCTTTTAAGATTGAAGTCCATGCAGACGTTTTCGGCTTCTTGAAGTTGAACTATCAAGGCTCCAAAATTCTGAGTATATCTGGCTGCAATATTTTTGGAGTTGGACTTGCCTCGGGCGTCTTTCATGAAATCAATGAAGTCTTCTCTCTTCAGGAAGGATTCTTTTAAAGTCATTTTGGGTTTAGTACTGTCTGGAGGGCATCTTTTTATTTTTTTTACTTTTTGCTTCTTGTTGGGGGCAGATGATGAGATTGATGATGTTGTGCTTGAATCAGTGTTCATATCGAGATCAGTTTCTCTGTCTTTTTCAGGGAACGCTCTTTTCTCTTGACACTTTCATTCTGAGATTGATAGTACCAAATTGACTCCAGTTGGCTGTCCATCAAATCATCAATTTGTGAAGTGTCAGTTACTTTCTCACTTGAGTTTCTTGGGGTAAATAATGTGTCTCCATAAATAGTTTCCGTAATGGAAATTTCTTGAGGTTGCTCATTCCGCTGTTTGGGGGACTTGACTTGTTTCGGGTGTTAGGATGGTAGGAGTGCTGAAAGTGAACTCTGAGTCTTGCAATGTGACTGTCTGAGATGACATGGAAGTAGAAGGTTGCAGCACTGTAGCAGCAACGAAATTTGGCATGGGAATGTGGGGTACTGAACTTGAACTTCCAGATGGTTGTTGTCCAGTTGTTGGGCGGGATGTTCTGTTGATCAACAAGCGTTGAGAAACTGGGGTCTGATGGCTGGGAATTCTTGATCCTGGTTTAGTTTCTTCTTGCATTTTGCCTCGAGATGTCCTGGCACGAGACAGAAGTTTCACATAATGTCATCTCGGTCAATGTACAAGGTGACCTTGTTGTTTTTAACAGTAGTAACCAGTATTTTTTTGGCATTTCTGGAGCTCCAGAGGGAATCATGATGAATATGGATCTCTTCCAGGACTTGACGTGTTTTAGATCATCATGAGTTGTTGATACTTTGAGTCTGGTTGGGGCAGAGACAACTCTTCCGTAGGGTGCTAGGAGGTCCTTGAGATCTTCGTCATGAATTTCAGGAGGACAATTTGAAACTATGAACTTGGTTGCTTCAGAACATAGCGTCGACAAGGGTAGTAAAGTGGACCAATCTGTATCCCTCCCTTTCCCCGCAAATTTGGTTTACAAAGTTCTCATTCGTCAGGTACATACAAACTCGCCCCCCACTAAGGCGGGTACAGTAATGAATGTTTCGTCCTCCTATCACATCAGCGACAGCTCGGAGGCACTGGTCTTGACTGACTTGGTGAAAGTTTTCAATGATTATGGCATTCTTCCTATTTGGGGGAATAGGCAATGTTGTTGTTGTCTTGTTGGTTGGGGGTTTGGGTTTTGGGGGGGTTTTGAGGTTAAGTTTTCACTAGCACTGGGTTCACTTTCAGAGTTTCTTGAGTAACGGGGGTTTTAAATTGGACATGGGGGGCTCTTGAAGACGATGCTGCACTCGCGTAATCCATGTTTGCGAAAGGATGCTGGTTTCGTTGTTAAAGTTGACTTGTTGAAAAAGGCGGGAAAAGTCCACGAGTCCGGCTAGGACTGATTTCACTTTTCCGCCCGATCCGTGGGGGGAAACGTGGAAATTTTCTTCACTTATGATCACTGTCACTGACTGATTTTGTTCTCTAATGGGTTTTGGACTTCTTTCACCAGGAAACACTAGTAAAAAAGGGTAAATCTGGGAGCCTCACTGGAGCCCCTGTCTACCTCAAAAAAAAAGGGGAGAGAGAGAGAGAGAGAGAGAGGGGGAGGGGAGGGGAGAGAGAGAGAGAGGAGAGAGAGAGGGGGGAGAGAGAGGAGGAGGGGACGGGGGCGGGGGGTGGTCCGTTCCCCGCCTTTTTTTTTGGTGGACCCCTTTGGGGCCCGCCCGGATTCCCGAAAAAGGATGAATCATTTTTCTCTTGAGTGGCTGCTGATAACCCGGGGCATTTAGAGCCGGCGCGTGTCACGAGTGGGAGGGGGGGGGGGGGGGGCTCGCTCCCACCGGTCCAGCCAGATCAATCATGCGCCTTCTGATCAGCGAGCCCGCCGTAAAGTGTCGCGCTGTTTGGCCCCGCCCCGCCCGCCCCGCCACTCGGCGTGGTTTGCCGCCATCTTGACGTCGAAGGGGTTGCGGCTGGCGAGGCGTGGAGAGTGGCGGCGGCGGCCGCGGCGTCACGGTCAGGTCGACGCTTCCTGGAGACGCTCTCCAGATATCTGTATACATGACGCCCCCTCCCCCTCCCCTCCCCGCGCCAAACTTGCCGGCGGTGGCGGCGCGGTGACGCGGCGCGTCTCGACGGCGGGCTTGGCGGCCCTGGCGGTCCTGGCGCGCCGGGGAAGGGTGTCCGTCTTGCTGTCGTCCGGCGCCGCCGTGGAGGTCATGGTCCTGGAGGGCTGCAGGGCCCGGAGCAAATGGTCCAAGGGCCGAGCGAAGGGCGAAGCGCAAAGCGGCCCGACACTGCCCCGCCTCACTCGGCATAATTTGGTTCCACGAATCCAGCGGCGCGCCGGTTTATTCAAAACTCTGCGAACTAATCTTACGCCCCGCAGCGGAGTGCGTGTGCCGCTGTCTTGCGTGCGCCGCGTCCACGGCAGCGCCGGGGCCGCCGTCCGTGCGCGTCCGTGCCTCGCAGACCCTCTTCATCAAACTCCCGGAGGCGTCTTGGGTGCTGATTTGACGGCCGTCGTGTGTCCGGGAGCGGGAACACAGCGGCCGCCCCACCCCTCATCAGCCTAAACAAGGCATTTGACCCGCGGCGACCCGTACATCAAACCCCCGGATGAGCGCAGCACGCCGAGCGCGCGGAGCACTCAGAGCGAGAGAGACGGAGCGTCTTGGCGGCGAAAGGCATTGGGGACCGCTCCATGAATACGTGAGGCTCCGCCAGCCCCGCCCAGCCCCGCCCAGCCCCGCCCAGCCCCGCCAATGGACATGAATATTGAGAGGAGGAGGGGGAGGGGGGAGAGTGTCCCGCGGCGGTACTTGGCGCCTTCAAGGCCTTCAAGGCCCGCTTCCTCGTCAGCCTGATTTCGCCGCGCCTGCGTGTGTGTGTGTGTGTGTGTGTGTGTGTCTTTGTGTGCGTGGGTGAGTCAGTGTGGGAGAACACACTGCGCGAAACGGCAATAGCGGCAACGCGACGCCGAAGACGCCTGCCGCGCAGGCAACCCGGCCGCGCCGGTGCCGTCGGTTTGCCTACGCCGCGGTCCGCAGGCGTCACAGCGACTCGGACTCGACTTGAGAGGCTCCACCGCAATTGATCGCGCGCCATTTCGGGCCCGGCTCTGCGACTGCGGCGACGAGCGACGCAACGACGCGTTTCTCGCGGTCCGCGTTCGCCTTGGTCGATGGTAATGAGGCACTAGTCGGCCTGCCGGCCGGCTGGACCGGGCGCTCCCACACGCTCGCCGTCGTTCGATCGCTTCCCACAGATGTCGCTGGCCGATTGAATATTTTTGGCCGCGAGACCCGGCCGCGAGTTCGGTAGGAGGATCGCCCCCCACCCCCGCCCCGCGGCCGCAGCAGGCGACTGGATTATGCTTATCAGGAGAGAGAGAGAGAGAGAGGAGAGAGAGAGAGAGAGAGAGAGAGAGAGAGAGAGAGAGAGAGAGAGAGAGAGAGAAAGGAGGATAGCATTGTTTGGGCGGTTATTCCGTTTGGAGAGGGATGGCGTGGTCGTCTGCGCGAAGAAGGATGAAAAGAAGGAGGAAAAAAAAGGTTTCATGTTGAGCAGGTCTGATTTCCCCATGATGGGCCGCGGAGCATGCATTATTCATCGGAAAGTTATTGCAGAAGAAGCACGAGGGCTCTGCCGGGCGGCGCGACGCGCTGTTGACCTGCTCCGCCGTGACCCCCACGCCAAAGCTTGACGTCTTGACCGCGCCGTCGACACCTTTGACCTCCATCCGCCCTTCGGCCCCGGCCCCGTCACGGTGGTCCGCCGGGGGCATGCCTCTGCGAAGCGCTTCGCAAGGTGTATTACTCTGTAGTGCCCAATCAAGGCATGTCTGCCGCTCGGCCCTCTGTTTCATCTGACCAATCAGGGCCGCGCAAGGCCCCAGAGGGTGCCCGGAGGGTGCCGAGCCCCAAAGGGGTGCCCCACTCTGGTGGGACTAAATCACTCATTGAGCCATTCGTCTGCTTTGCATAACGAGAGAGGCCCCGTCGTCGTGAGGGCCCCGCCGCTGCCCGCCCCGCCCCGCCTGTCCAGTCCCCGATAAGTGGCCGGCACGCGCGGCCCCCGCTGCCTAGGGACGGTGCGAATCGGGGCTCCGCGGCGCCAGTGTGTCTGTCCTTTGTTTGCGGGTCTGCCTGGCCCTTGGCCTGGGCCTTGCTGGCCGCCCACCTCGAGGCCCCCACCGAGTCCGCCCCGCGGTCCCTCCGTGCCGCTCCGAGCACGGCCGTGATGACAGGGGATGTAAAAGACAAATCTGCCTCCTTTCTCGCCCCCGCAGCCCCGACCCGGCGCCACGGCAAAGTGATCGGGACCGCAGGCAGCGAGGAGGGAGTCCTGGAGGGAGTCCTGGAGGGAAGTGCAGCGGTGTCGCACCAACAAAAGGAAGGGGGAAGTAAAAACTGCATCGGTACACGCGACGAGTTGGACTGCGACTTTTCCACACGTTGTACCATCAAGCAAAATAAAAAAAAAAACTCATTCAACGAACGTTAATGAAAGCAGATGATCCGTCGTGTTTCTCAACTGCTGTGATAGCCGGAGGTTAGAGACGTGGGATCGAGTTACCGCAGACCGGCGTTCGAATACCAGCGTCACAAAAGTTTTTTCGACTTGCTATTCTAAGGGTGGTGGTTCGAGGTCATCAGAGCCGAGCCGTGTGCAACAGGCCCACGTGCCGGAGGTTCGACTCCTAACAAATATTTCAATTTAATTTTATTGCCCCACCCAGTGGGGTTTAAACCCCTGAACGTTCCACTTCAAGCATGGGACGTGGTGGTCCAGGGAGTAGAGGCGTCGGTTCAGTGCTAGGGTCGGCGGTTCGATCCCCAACTTCTTGCGAAATTTTGACCGGGTCGGTCGAGTCCTGTTGCGTCAAGAACCCACCTCACGCCAATCCCCTCATCAGAGGCCGTGGTGGCCGAGAGCGCTCAGTCGTGTGTTCCCGATGGCGGGGTTCCGGGGATCGAATCCCATCATTTCATTACATTTTTCGACTGCCTTCCTCCCACTGCAACTCAAACCCCTCGTCCAACACGCCACCAGACGTACAAGCGTGATAGCGTAGTGGTCAAGTCACATTCACCTGGGCCCCTCCGCTGTGGGTGTCTAAAAGCAATCCGCTTCGGCGGGTTTGGCCCCGGGACTGGAGCGATGGGTATTTGATCCCTCAATCCCGACCACCGGTGTGTGGTTGCGGGTGGTGCCTCCTCGACGTCGGGGAGGCGATGATAAGTCCTTTGAAGCTGGCCTAAAACGCTGTATGTTCGGTACGGGAGCGCCGGACAGTGGGGGTACCATGGGGTACACAAACCCAAACCCCACGAAAACAAGAAGCTCCCACCAAACCCCTTCTCTGTCTGAGTCTCTCTCTCTGTCTCCTGTCGTCTCACTCTACGTCCCGCCCCTCAAAAAGCTTCGTACTGGGTGCTCTCACCCAGCTGCCTGAGCTTTGGGGTCCTACTGGGTCCCCCCGGGGAACGCTTAGAGTCGCTGACGGGATTAACCCCAGGTACCTGTAG